TTAAAATCACCAAAGGAATACCACAAATAATAATTATGAAATATTTTTGACAGTTCTGATATTTTTGGTAGTTATGTTATATTTTATGTATTGAAAAATCATATATATATATATATATATATATATATATATATATATGATTATATATTATAGATATTATAACGAAGTATTTAATTGGCTAATTGGTGTTTAAAGAAGAATATAAGAAAAATATATTCAAGATCCTTATGGTTAAGTAATAAGTGAAATTAATAAAGAGTTAATTTAAACGTATAAAAAATGCGTTAAGCAGTTTTTTGTCGGTTTCTTTCACAATTTAAACCAAGTTAGTCTTGTTCTATTATTTTGATCCCTTTAGTAAGGCACTAAATAGTAAAAAGTTAAATGTATGTATTTTAAATGTTAGTGTTGGAAAAAATTTACACAATCTGTAAATACTTCTTTAAATTTTAGTTTTTAGGTAACTGGTTAAAATAAAACATGTTATAATAAAGGGGTTTATTTAGAATATTTTTTGGTTTTTGCTTATTTTTAACAATTTAAAACTTCTCAGAACTTAAATATTTTCTATAAGAAAGAGGTACAAAATTATGATATGTTCTTGCATTTTTAATTGCAATTAAATTCATGAATCTCGAACACTCATTTATTACACTTGCAAACTTTTTGAAATCGCAATTTAAATACGCACAAATAAAATTTATGAAATATTTTTGACAGTTCTGACATGTCTCTAACAAACATGAATTGTCAAAGCCATCTAAATTTTAAATTATAAATAAAACTAACAATATCGCTACTAAACGGGCATTAAAAAAATTAATATATCTTTTAAAGGAATAAAAATAACAAAACAAGACTAACTGGACTGAAAAGATGAAGGTGGGGACTACATTTCCTAAAAGTTTCAGATTTTTATTTTTTCCTCAACATAATGATTTCTGAGGGCAAAATTGGCTAATTTTGAGAATTATCAATTTTCAATAATTTTTTTAATAAAGAAATTGATAGTCTATAAACTTAAAATAATAGTTACGTTTTCTATTGTTTAAGTACTTTATACCTGAATAAAATGAACCTTTTAAATTCAGTAGAATAGGCACAGGAGCCAGACAAAAATCACAAAAATTGGCAAATTATTTCAATATTTGTCACAGAAAAAAAGTTCTGGCCCACTATAAGAGAGTAAGAAATTGACACTATTTCAGACTTCTAAGGGGTGCCAAATAAAAGTAAAGCAACAAAAAATTAAAACGGCAAGGGATTTTCATATTTGACACCTAAAAGATCATCCTCAATTTTTTTCATTACAATAAAAAATCATGCAGCGCACTTTTAAATTCATTTTTGGTGTTTTCATTTGGATTGACTCTATTATCAGTGGGAAATGTTTTTATTGGCTTTCAAAATATTTGTCCTGATAGATTTGTATTGCCAGTTGAATGCAAGTTTGGGAGAAAAGTTGGTACCAATCCACACTTTAAATTCCCAAGTGACGCTGTTTGTTTTTTGAAGTCATATGTATGTTGTTTCTTCGTATTCTAAATACTATTACATAATACTAAATTTAATTTTAAAATATTTTATATTTTACTTCGGTTGATATCATGTAAGTTGCAATTGGAATTGCTGCAAAAAATTGCACTGTAAGTACTTAATTGGGGTTATATTCTTAAGGTAAACACATTAAAAGCAATGTTTTTGGTATCTGCGTCAGTGGCGTAACTACAGGGCCGCGAGCACAGTAGGGCATGAGCAACACTGAACTTTCTTAAATTAAGGGGGCCCCATCCGGTAAATTTGCCACCGGCCCCAGCGGTAATGGTTACGCCACTGATCTGCGTAAAACCCATTTATCCAACTCAAAAAAAAAAAAACAAAAGACGTATTGTGATTAATTTCTTTAATTACGTAACGATTCTATTTCATATTCAACTTAGCTACATATTACGTAGTACGTATTGACCTGAAGCCGTCAGCGCGCAACAGCGCTTCCATCATTGGTCAATTTCACAATTCCACATTGACCTTGGCATTGACTGACAGCACGCACCTAGCACACTTGATTCAGTAGCCATACCTGTTTTTTGACATGTGCCATTTCCTGCACTGCCTCGGGGGGTTTATAATTACCTCATATCTACAAGACTTTAACAAACTTGAATTGAAAAATATTTGTATTATGCATTCCGTTTATTTGGATAGTTTATTAGGATCTTACATGTTTGTTATTTCTAGTAGGTATTTGTTAATTTTCGTTTTTTATTTGGTCAAAAATTTTGAAATATGCTTTATACTGTAAAAACTATACCTACATCGTTTAAATCTTATAATCTCTAAATTTAAATATATGGAATTTTTCTATATCATATTCTGTTGACTGTTAAAATTAAAATATAATTTTAAAAAGTTTTATATTAAGAATATAAGGGTGATTCACCTAACTGATTATCAAAAAATGGTTTTCTACTAAAGGTATAGTCACAGAATTCTGTGGTATAATGTCCATGTTGTGAGAACTGACCGAATACCTCGTCACCTGTGCTTTTGTTTCGAGCGTGCTACACAACCAGGCACCGACAGACAGCCTGTTTCAGTCTTATTAGACCTCATCAGTGCCGGATAGCCATTGTGCTTTCATTTGAGGTTTATAGAGGACTAAAAGAAATCAATCTGAAATTTTAGTTGAACTGGAAGTGACAGTAACCTATTTCTTTACTTTTAATAATAAATAAATCGAGTATATAACACAATAGGCTAAAAATGTTGGCAAAACATAGCAAGCGGTTTGTTTTGGTTACTTTTCTTTTAGAAAATATGCTCTCTAAAAATGAATTAGTCAAAAATGACTAATTACCACAGTTATTGTGGCTGCGTTTTCACTTATACCATGGTTAACCAAGGATATCATGGTATCCCCAACATTTAACACCCAATTCTTATGTAAAATTGTCTCATGAATTCGAAAATACCGTAAAAAAATATGAAAGTAGAGCAGTTTTTAAGATATAGTCAATTCCATATTATTTGGAAAATTCTTCTTTTCGGATATTTTCGGATTCAGGGGACAATTTTACATGGAAAATGACTGCTAAATTTTCTGGATACAAATTGCTATTGACGAGAATTATTAGTGGCTGCTTTTTCGCTATGAAAATTAGTCATTTTTGACTAATTCATTTTTAGAGTGTTAAAAACGCTATGAGCTTACGGTTTCCTTGTAGGTGATCTGTTAACCCTGCTTGCGAGCAGGGTCATCAGATCACTTACTCGATCCCTCAACCCAGTAAGTTTACGAAGAACAGTCGAGGTGATCGATGTAGTAACGAATACCAGGTTCACTTACCCGGGTGACGGATCACTTATCCGAGTAGGTTTCCGAAAACGACTTTTATAGAGATATTACCAACCATGTAAAAAAACAAGTGTGTTTTAAATGGTTTTAAATTTCATATATATATGTCATATATGACAAATAATATGAATATGCATAAATTGACAGGTAGTTAAATGTCCCATGGTGGCTGGTAACATTACACTTATCGTTATATGTTTTATACATAGGTATGTAACGGATTTATAGACATTTTATATATACAGTGTGTGCGATTTAAGACCGCAACATCCTATTATGCCATAACATTATTCTTTGTAACTTATCACGAATATTTTTTATCCCGGGATTTCTCGGATCATTTTTTTTACGGGACCCCGGGATTGACACCCCTAGTGTCTATATAGTGTGTGCGATTAAGGACTGCAATACCCCATTATTTTGAAAACCGTTGATCGATTTTAATATATTTTTTTGGAACATATATGTACTATATAGTAGTCGATGATTTATTTTTTCTAATATTTGCTAAATAAGTCGAAATTTAGAGATCGAGCATTAGGATTTTTCCTCAAAATTCGATTCAGAAATGTTCTTGATTTTTTTTGTAAAACTCCATATAATATTTATTTGTGTCATAAAGCTGAGAAGTTAGTCTTTTTTTGCTCAAGTTTGGAGTTGTACGCGTTAGCGGAGGCCTACAATTGACCGAAGTACATAAAGACACCTTAGGGCGTGGCTAATAAGCCGAGCGGCATACAACATTTTATCTTCAGGGCACAGTTAACATAACACGTATTTTAGAATTATAATAACAATTATTAAAAGTATAAAGTGAGGTTAGATAGGTTGGAAAATGTCAGAAGTATCGAATTTTTTAATTGGCCCTGATATGTTTTTTACAGACTAAGATGTAAAAACCTTTACCTTATTGGTCAAAATTATTTTTACAGTCTAGAAGATAATAGAATAATTTGATTAGTAAGCCTTGACAATAATAAAGCTTAAATTATAGAACGATTTAAGGTAAAGTATCTTTATATAATATTCATAATATTTTATCCATTATTTATAATATTATATCATTTATACGAAGTTGAAGTCAAACTTTTAAATATAAAAAAATTCAGGAGGGGTTTTGACCCCAAAACCCCCTTGTCAGATATCTGAAATGGTTCTAAGTCGATTAAATAGGTACTTTACTTTTTCTTTTCGATTTTATCGATTTTTCTTGTTATCAGTTTTTTGTCTTTAAGGCGACAATTTTTTCGCCCCACATTATAGAGACTAATACCAATAATAACCTATTTTAGTTATTTACGATATAAGTGGGATAAGAGCTTTATTAACGTACGCATGCGAAATTTGCCCAACGAGTGCGTAACGCAAAAGTACGTTAATAAAGCGTTATCACACGTATATTGTACAAATTTTTATCTACGCCTCTAAATGAAAAAATAAACGGTAATTATTTTTGTCTAAGACTTAATTAAGGGGTTATTTTGACATTTTGACATTTTGACTTTTTTATTTGATTGGTTAAAAACAGAGAAAAACGCGTGCGTTAATGAACTTCTTATCTCACTCAAATTGAGTGGGATAAGAAGTTCTTATCTCACTGGTGTAGATAATAATATTTTAACTATTAATTATTTTTTTATTTTAGGAAATTGGCCATGAAGGGTTGGTTCGATGCGTTTAGAAATGATGGTGGTCCAACACTGTATAATTTTAACAATAGAACAGCAGTAACCGGAGACGTGACAGTTATCACGTTTTTAGCCATATTTAGTACACTTTACGTAGCCTTTCTTATTATATTTCCCGGAATAAGAAAAGAAGTAAGTAAACTTTCAGTGCAATTAGTGCAATTACAAATGTTATTATAATTATAATGGGGTATTTATTTTTTAAATCGGACCAATGTTGGACAATACAATACCGATTTGGATCAAATTTGTATGTGCCCATTAAATTTTAGAACAAAAATATTAGGAATTATTAAGGGTCATTTACAAAATACCAAAATCTTATTAAGTTATTTTATATACAGTGCTCTATAAAATTTGAACTCCATAAAAATGTTTTTTAGTTAATAGTTTTGTGCTGAGCTCAAAGTTTGGGCGACCGTTGACTTTGGGGGCACTGGGCTAAAGATATTTGGGGGCCTATCAATAACACTATGTACAGTATGTTACGGAAAGAAGTAATGTCCATTTGAATGTCCATTGTAATTGTTCGGAGGCATTCGGAAATAGTCAACATCTGCCTCTTAGGGATTTACTACCTGCTCGTATTGAATTAATTATTTTGGGTATTTTACATATTTAACTGTATTTTTATTAAATCGTTAATTTTTTGATATATTTTTGTATAGTTTTATAAACATTAATTCTTATTTTTTCATATTAATATTTAAAATTTTTATATTAATATTTTAAATGTAGGACAAATTTTTAAATATTTGATAAAAAATATCGAATATTTATTTTTAAAGCACCTCAAAAATATTGTTCAGAATCTCAAAAAAATGGTCCTGTTAAAATTTAAGCTCTTAATATTACATTTACGGGTCCTTCATCGGGAATTTTTATTTCCCATTAAAATAATATGAGATTTTTTTAAAATACTTTAAAATAGTTTAACTCGGATTAGTAAAACTGAAACAAATTTTGGTAGGGCTCTTTTAAAAGGTATTCAAGGTAAAAGTTGAATTTATAGAAATTTTCAAGAATTTCAAACTTTTTCAGCGAAACAAAATTTATGGTAAAATTTAGTAGGACCCTTTTTTAGAAAAATATTATCTAAAACCATGAGCAAAGGAAGCTGCCTTTTTATTTAAAAAGAAATGGTAAATAATTACATTAATAATTGAGGAGAATCCGTGCAAAACCGGCTATATTCACTTTAATAAAATGTTGGGAAAATGGCAAAAACTCTCGATTTCCTTTACAGATAAAAGAAAAAGCAAACTTGAGTTTTGTGGGCTTTGTGGTACTTGATTTATAAGACATACTTTCGTTTTCAAAAACTTTATATTAAGGCCAAAATTTCAAAAAATGTTTTGTATATAGCCGGTTTTGCTCAAAAACCGAATAAAAAACGAATAAAATGTGAAAAAAACCTTTATTAATCAAAAATATTAACAAAATAAATTTAGTGCAAACATGAAAAAACAGAACAAATTTTATTAGTAGTATCGACATATCCAAGCCACATGCTCATCATCATTATTATTTATTGGATATAGCCGGGTTTGCTATAAAACGTGGATTTGGCCGGTTTTGCTTCTAAAGCTACCTTTTAAATGTGATTTTAACATGAATATAGTCGGATTTAAACAGAATTATCTTGGTTGTCGATAGAAATAAACCCAAAGATGCGAAATCAAAAAAAAAACAAAAACTGAATAAAATGGATTTAGCCGGTTTTGCACGGATGCTTCTCAATTATAGTTGAAGCATGGCATTCCCAAAGGGTTTGGACCAAATTTGGTCAAATACTATATTATAATTTAAAAATAGTCTATGTGCCATGCAAAACGACTAAAAAATTTTTCTCCATATTATTTTTGTATTTTAAAGATGGATGGATTTTCATTGATTTCTCACAATTTTATTTTTGACACTTAGAGCCTTTGGGAATACCAAGTTAAATTATTATAATAATTATAAATTTATGCCGTTTCCATATTTTATTGGATTTTTATACATTGAAATAAGTTGGTATTGGGCAGATATTTCATAAAACAAGTAATGAAAACTAAAATGTTGATGATAGTATATTATTATTTATTATACGAGAGATAATGCAGGCTATTATTCAAAAGGATAAGGTTTGCATGTCGAGCCGTCGGGCGAGATACGTAATTCATCCGAGTAAATAATGCGCATTATTTCGAGTGTTATACTATGTTTTTTCTACTCCAATTAAGTAATTTTCATTGATAACAAAATTTATTATAACCTCACTTTTCTCCTATTTTAAAGATCATTATAGTCGCCACTCGTGTATATAAATAAATCTGACATCTGTCAATCTTACTTTTTTCTAATTTAAAACCCGATTGGTTCAAATAACAGTGAATATTAAAATAAGCCAATCACTGATACCTAACAACGTGAATATAATAATAATATAATATAATTCACTTTGATAGGCCGGGCAGTTATATTGGTTACCATTATTTACGCAAAAAAAAAACAAAAAATTTCAATAATATGCAATAGAAGTAGAAAAACGTATTAATAGTGCACAAAATGCATTTTAGTTTAATTTATAATTATTTTAGTATTAAATGTCTATATTTCATTTAAATATATTATTTTATTAATAACAACTTATTAAATATATAGTATATAGTTTATTTAATAAGTTATAGAACATATATTTTATTTAAATTATTTCAGAATCAATGTTATTCCTTAAATATTTAATTATTGCATAAAAGCTTAAAAGTCAAATGAAATGTGCTTAGAAAGAATGGTAAATAGCAGGTAGGTAGAATTATTGAGTTTAAAAATAGATATGTTAATTTTATTAGCAAAACCCGAATGCCTCCGAACAATTACAATAGAGCATTCAAATGGACATTACTTCTTTCCGTAACAGTACATATTTAACTTTTGAAATATTACAGCTAAACGCTCGGACACGTTAACATAATTTTTGGTCAAAGATTCCAAATCCGTGCTCGGTTTAGCTGTATCAGGTCTAAAAAAGTGTTTCCTATTGGCAATTCGATCCAGGGACAGAACATTTCAGTTACGTTTTACGAACAAACACTTGTATTTTAAAAAAAATATATTTAATTTATAGAATACAAAATTAAGGAAATTAAATGAACGTTTCAATTGTAAGAATCTAAGAGACGAATGAATATAAAATTAAACTTAAGAAATAAGGGGTTCTTATCTGGTTCTTGCACGACACAATTCCTGTATTCGTCGTAACTTTCCTATGCTTTTTATTATATATCAATGAAAAAATCAGCAAAATAACATTTTAAATTTTCTAAATTATCTAAAAAAAACATCAGGGACACGTGTTCCGTTTGATCAAATTTTGCAAGATTTTTTTTTATTTGAAACCTATGTGGGAGTCCAGCCCAATTGACCAAGCAGGTTTGTAATCTTCGACCAAAAATTAAGTTTATGTGTCCGAGCGGCTAGCTGTGGTATTTTCTCCTCCCTACAGTCTAATTATATAAGTATATGCATATAACAAAACAACAAATTCTTACGTCAAAAATAAAAAAAACAGAAAAAAATAACTCTTATTCTTAATAAAATAAATAAATAACATAAATATAATAAATAAAACATTCTAGCACTTATATAAGGTGTCCCGATAAGACCTGTATCATTTAGTGAAGTCAATGCCTGTACAATGCAAGGCCACATATTTCTTGGTTTAAACTAATTCGAGTTAACCTAACTTACCTAAATAAAATTGCATTATTTAGATGCCAGCAGCCTTTAAAATAAAATCTACAATTTTTTTTTATAAATTATAAAAGCCTCATGGGCCTGTTAAATTATCACCCATTAATATTATTGGTTGCTAAACGCGTTTTAACATTTAAATTAAGTAGGTACATGAGATTATTTTAGAAATAGAAAATAATTAGAACTTTTATTTTAGAGAATTAAACTCTCCAAAATAAAGATTACTTATTATTTTATGATAAATCTACTCGTTAAAAAGTTTTTTTAAGACTTAATACAAATTTATAGCATATTTTAAATTTTTCTTACTTTCCCGGTAAAACCCTCAGGCTTGTTACAAAATGTTGACATTTATCATACACTTTTTGTAGATCATTTTATTTTTTATAAAAATACGTCATTATTTTTTTTACTATTTTATTTATGATTTACTGGTTTAACCAGTATACATACAAATATTTTTTGCAAACAAATGATATTTTCTTTAAATTAATTCGTATTTTAATCAGAAATATTAACTTGTAAAATCAGTAACGGTAGTAACTTACAAAATTATAAAATTACACCAGTTTTTTGAAAAATAAAATGATCTATCAAAGTCTTAGCAGAAATGTAAAAAAACTTGAAATTTACTATAAATGTAATTTTAAGCTTGAATAACTAGATTTACTAATCTATAAATATAATATTTTAAAAATATGTTATTTTCATTTAAGTCCATTAATCCATTAAAAAGATGGATAATTTGAAATTTTCTTTCCATGCTATTTAAATGAAAAATAGAAAATCGAGATGAGGGGCCTCTTAATATTAATAATAATAACTAAAATTTTAAAAGGCTCAATATTTTATTATATAGACGATTTTTTAATCAGTCTTTATTTAAATATTTTTTTATTTGCATCGCGCAAGGGGCCCTTTATTGGACGTGGACCTGGGCTGCAGCCCATAATGGCCATGCCTGAATCCGCCATGGCGACACTTCTTATCCGAATGGCATACAACATTTTATCTTCAATTTTATTTGTTAAACGATGCATGAACCGTACAATTATAATATTTATAAAAAGTAGGAAGTGAGGTTATGTAGTTCTAATAATTATGGCATTTTTTGATTGGTTCAAATTGTTTTTTTACAGCCAAGAAAAACTTTACCCGATTGGTCTAGTATTTTCAGAGCCTAGGCGATAATTAACTTTAGTAGTAAGTGTTGGCAATAATAAAGTATTAATTATTGACCTCTTGAAAATAAATTTACTTATATAAGGTTGCTAAAATGGAAAATGCATGTAAAAAGATATATTTTTTTAATTAAAGTAATCGTACCTATATAGGTATAATATATATTAAACCACATTCATCAGAAAAATAATTGCTGTCAATAATAATGAAAATTATAATATATATATATATATATATATATATATATATATATATATATATATATATATATATATATATATATATATATATATCAATTTAAACATAAATTTACTTATATTGGTGTGTTTTTCTATTGTTTTATTGACCCTCAGTGCTTCTCACATTTTTTTGGCTGTCAAAAATTCCTGATTCCTCGAGGATTTCTTTTTAGTTTTGTAGGTATGTTTAGGCTTTTATTTCGTTATCTTAAAAAACTAAAATAAGATAAAAAGAAATTCTGGGGCTATAAAAAATGTCTTTATTGGAAACCAAAGGGCTATCGATTTAGGTCCTTCTGTCCGCCTGGGGCTATATTTACTGTTTCAAAATTTTAACTTCTGCTTTAGTTTTGTTATTTACATTTTTTAAAGCGTTGCAGAGGTGAATGAAATATTTTCTTAAATTTTAATTGGCACATTTTAAATGATCTTCCATAAATTAATACAAATAGCATTGTTTTATGGTTTTCAACACAATTTATTTATTGATAATTTTTTGTTATTAAAAGGCTAGAAGTTTGTAACCAAGTAAAAAACTTTAATGCCAGCAAGAAGAAAATGTTTTATTACTTTACTTCAAGAATCAGTAAATATATAGACTTGTTTTGAGGCGATTTTAATTACCTGTTTATATACTTTTTTATAATACTTGTAATAGCTAAACTTTATTATTTTTTATTTGCAAATAAAAAAGAACTTTTATCACAAGAGGTACACTTTATAAATCAATTGTTCGAGTAATTAAATAGGTTAAACGGTCTAAAAGAGACCACCGCTACAGAAAAAAAATTTTTAAATCATTAAAATTATTTTGCCCATCCGTACGTAAAGTGAATTTTGCAGGAGATAGCTGATAGCCTAAAGATTAAAATGCAGTGTACACAAAATCTTGCAAACAAATTTGGAATCGAAAAACGACCTATTTAGAAGTAAATTCTCTTTAATTAGGACAATGTTTAATGTTACGATGGCAAAGTTGCACGAATTTGGCTTCGAATTACTTCCCCACCCATCATATCCTTCAGAACTGGCACCTGCACCCAGCGACTCATAAACGAGATTTTCATATAATAAGGAAGACATATCGGAAACTAAAGCATATTTTGAAAAAAAAATAAAACCATATTGATATTGTAATGGTATCGAAATTTATTGTAAAGTTCTGTTTAAATAATTGTTTGTGTATTCTTCCAGGTTAGTTCTTAATTTAAGTAGCCCAATTAGGTAGTCTACTAAACGTAGAACGATTTAGATTTAAATAATCATCCTTAGTTATTTTGCACTACTACGTTTAGTGAATTTTACCCGATATTAACACCTTTTGTTTTAGCTATTTTTATAAAATGTTTTTGCCTTTTAAGTTTACTGCTAAATGTAAAAGTTTCTATTCCTTTATTTTATTGTCTAAGGTTTAATGTAGTTGTACACGATCCCTGTAACTCAAATGTTTAGACCTTCCCCAACACGATTATGGATTTTTGTGGTAATTTTAAAACAAATATCAGTGTAATACACGACGTTTCGTTGCTTAAAAGGAAGTATTGACCGTTAATTTTAAACTGAGAACGCTCCTTTTGTTTTAGCACGTAGATTGCAGTAGATACTAAAATGCTCCCCTCCGTGAGGGATAACTGGTCACCTAGGTTCCCTAGGTGGCATCGCAACTTTTATCCCGAACCTTCATCTTTACGCGAGTTGCTTCCAGTGCACTGGAAGCAACTCGCGTAAAGATGAAGGTTCGGGATAAAAGTTGCGATGCCACCTAGGGAACCTAGGTGACCAGTGTACACTGCAGTGTAGACCTCGTTCTGCACAGGGCAACGTTAACGTTGACAGACTAACAGTTAACTGCCCTGTTAAACTAACAATGTTTTTCCTATTTTTGAACCTGTAGGGGGTAAATAGCGTAACGATCGTCGTATCATTCCATTCATTTGCATAAACTTTTAAAGAAACAATGCCTAATCGTGAAATCCTTTGCTAATTCATAGCCGAACAGGGTTTTTTCTCAAGCTCTTTTTTCCTGGCCGTATCTCCCTAAGAGCCACTCCTTGCTTTTTTTTAAACTGTTTGTAAAGCAAATTAAATTAGGGTAAACACAACGTAGAGGTCCTAATTTTCAAAAACTAGTTCATTTATTTATTTATTTTTCATAAAACTTGTTTTAACGAACCTGGTGTAAGGAAAAATCTTTACAATATATAAAGTTTAATTTTGACAAAAAAATATTTTTAGTAGTTAGTCCCTGAAACTTGACCGATGTAACACAGAATGTCAATACAAGCTTTGTAATATCTGGTCAAATAAACTGGGAAATAAATCTGCATTATTTTAGCGTTTTCACCCTTATTTTTTTTGTTCTTTACTTTTAAAAAGTTTTATGAACACCTACACAGAGAAAATAAAACAATAACAATTGATATGCAGAACACTAATCCACTCAATATACAATATAAATCATACAATTTTTAATAAAACAGCAAACGGTTATTTTTTCCACATCAATAAGTAATGCCAGGAACGATAGTTAGCAATATTTTGCACAATTAATAATATTTATTTTCTATTATACAAGGTGCCCCTAAACTTAGTGGCATAAATTTAGGAGCAGATTAAACAAGTCAAAATAAGACGAAAATCTAAATAAATATTTTTCCTAATTACATATGTTTAAAATATACAGGGTGATAAAGTGTTACTTATCATATCAGTTTTTTTAATATAACTTCTACTATGGTAGACTTGGAAAGGTGATATTTTGCGAACAGTCACTTACTACCAAAACACATATTTACACGTAATTACAATTGTTCTAGTGAACACAGTGTCGTAGAAACAGGGGTTGCTTAAGCTTATTGTCCCATACAAACTTTTAGGTTAGGTTTTTATACCATTTGATGCAATTTTTTGATTACTCAGTTCGGCTACTATTAAAAAGGTATACCTCATAAACTTCGATAAAATAAACCGTTTCCGAGATATTCGAGATAACATAATTGTTATATCGCATTAAAGGACTAAAAGGTATATGATAACAAATTTTTTAATTTAAAAAACTACATTTTTTTTTAATGTGACGGTCAGGGGAAAAAGTCCCGAGGCTCATGGAATGCCCTTTTTAGATTTTTCAATTAAAAAATAAAATTTGTTATCTTATACGTTTTAATCCTTTTAAATAATGCGATATAATAATTATTGTAATCTCGAATATCTCGGAAACGGTTTATTTTATCGAAGATTGACAGGTACACCTTTTTAATGGTAGCCGAACTGTATAATCGAAAAATTGCATCAAATGTTATAAAAACCTGACCTCAAAGTTTGCATGGGACAATAAGCTTAAAGCAACCCGCGTTTCTACGACACTGTGTTTACTCAAACAATTGTAATTAAGTGTGAATATGTGTTTTGGTAGTAAGTGACTGTTCGCAAGATATCACCTGTCCAAGACTACCATAGTAGAAGTTATATTAAAAAAACTGATATGATAAGTAACACTTTATCACCCTGTATCTTGGAAACATAAGTAGTTAGGAAAAATATTTATTTAGGTTTTCGTCTTATTTTGACTTGCTCAATCTTTTCCTAAATTTATGCCAATAAGTTTAGGAACACCTTGTATAATAGAAAATAAATATTATTAATTGTGCAAACGCTATATAGCGTTCTATAATTTAGGCTGTATTATTTTCAACGCGCACTACCAATGTATTCTACTAGGCTCTTAAAATAATTTAGACCAATCATGTAAAGTTTTTTACATTATAATGTGTGAAAAACCCGCTAAGACCTCCCTTTATACTTTTAATAATTGATATAATTGTAAGTACGTCTTATTTATTGTTTAACAAATAAAACTGTGCCTTAAAGATAAAATGCCATTCTGCGCATTAATGGTTACTGTTTTATTATAAAATAAAAAAAAATTATTTATAAAATCAAAAATATATTAATAATAATTCTTATTTGATTTGTACCAATGAAACAATGCGGCCTTAGCGAGTTAACCCGCGGCCTTAGACAACCTTTTTTGAAACCTTCTTGTAATTTTTAATATTTACAAAAAAACTCATAAGGTTAAGAAGTAAGTCTTTTTGTGCTCAACTCAAAGTTTCCAGAGACCTACAATTGAGCGAAGCACAAAAACCCGTCTCAGTCGAATGGAAAACAACATTTTATCTTCAAGGCACAGTTTTATAAAATATATTTGTTAAATGATACATAAAACGTACTAAAATTATAATAACAACTATTAAAAGCATAAAGTGGGGTTGGATATCTTGTAACGGTTTTTTTTGTTATGTGCTATAATTTTATTTCTTATAGCTTACACATAGACTATAGTCTGATTGGCGTCTAACGTTCTATAATTATTTTAGAACGCTTGGGGATAAACAATCTTAAATGTGAACAACATGTTTAATTTTTGTTGTTGTCACTCAGTGTTAAAAAAGTAATACGTAATAACCCAACAAAATAATAACCCATTAAGAAAAAATACAAAATTTTTCTTTTTCCAGAAATTTACTACCTTTTGTGCTGTGACCCTAAGTCTGTTTGTAGGAGCAACAATAGTCAGTAAGTGAATCTATTATGATTAAATTTTATAGCTTAGAATTAATTAACAAATTATTTTAAAATTTTAGTTTCAATATGTGGGTCAGCATGGCAGGTCTCACATGCCAAAATAGACAGTACATATCGTGCATTTTCAAATGAGAAAATGTCAGCAGATATTGGAGTTTACGTTGGACTCAAACATGTTAATATTACATTACAAGGTAAAAAAACGAGAATTATATAGTTGTTGGGTAACCGGGGCGGAATGGGGACTCTAACGTTAAAAAAATGTTAGTAGGTTAGAGACGTGGTATACCAATACAAATGTATACAAATTAAAAAAAAGAAGAAAGATTATAAACAAAATACAAAAAAATTAACATAAATGCTTAACAGTTTTTTTTATTTTAAATTTAAAAAAAGTGTCCTTTACTCCATTCCGCCCCGCCTACGGGGTAGAATGGGGTTATCGGGCTTACACAATTCACAGACAAGTTCTGAATCATAATCATCACTGTCTATCCCTGCACACGAATTGTGAGCCCATCTTTGGCACTGTATGCATAAAATCCAACCCTCAGATGCCTGAATACGGGTATTTACAATATAGACATCACGTCTTCTCCCACCTCAGAGCTTTCTTCATCTTTTTCTTTTTTGGCATAGACACCTTCTTCTGTTTTTGATCAGAAATATTTTTTTTATTTTGTTTTTTTTGTACCTCCCTGACCTTCTTCGTTTTCTCTATTGCTTTACTCAGTTCTGCTTTGTACGATGTAAGAATGTCTGTTTTGCCTCTTTTTCTCTGCACTCGTTTAACACCGGTCTTTAGTTTTGGTATTGGCATAATAACTTCTGGAGAGGATAGAAAACTGGAGGTGCTAGGTCTTTTTATTCCTACATTAGGAGTGTCAGGCATCCAGGAACATTGGGGTAGAGGGATATTATGAGTTTTGTTGCTATTTTCCATCGTGGCTTTGAGAGGTGGGGTTTAGATTCCTTTAGGCCGTATTAGTATCTGTGATACAATTGCTATGTGCAGTCCCGGTTGCATAGTATGTACCGATTGCGGCAAAGGCCACGTCGTTTGACGGTGTGGATCACCTGATGTTCTTACATCTCGCCTCTGTTGACTTAACAACCGAGCATATAAGCTCAGGGAGTCTTCGTTTTGAGTGTGTTCCACTACACCAAGTTGCCCGACACTGATGAGACCCAATATAGGTCGAAACAGCTGTCTGTCGGTATTTGAAGTTGGTGGAACGCATTCAATACAAAAAACTTTGGCGAGGTGTAGGATCAATTTTTCTTACTTCTACAGTCATCCATACAGAGTCATTATTCTCAGCCCAACCACCAGGCGGCAAACCTAATTCAAATTATTGTCGTTTCTTTTGCAGGTGGAAAATCCAGATTGGGGGCATGAAATTGCCCGCAGCAGAACAACAAATTTCGGCCGTTACTGTGTTTCCACGCTCAGCAAAAGTCAATACGCCCACCTGACGTTGTCCTCTATTTGCAATAATTCTTGAATGTTGTTTTGGAATTACCGTAATACCGGTCTCGTCCCAATTATAAATTCTCTCCCCGGTAACACTGTGCGACAAATTTTGACCTTACAATTTGAACTGGGATGAAATGTGGAAAAATCGAATCTATGCAACCCCCAAAACTAATCTTTAAAGGGGTTTTGCTAGTTTAGCTCGAATAATGGAGATATACATATATATATGTATATCTCCATTATTCGAGCTAAACTGGTAAAACCCCTTAAAGGATTTGTTTTGGGGGTTGCCTAGATTCGATTTTTTCAGATTTGATCCCAGTTCATTTTTTGTGTTGCACAGTGTAATCTTCTCTTTTAAAATAAATTAGTCAAAAATAACTAATTATAAGTCATGTTTGACTAATTGTCATAGCGAAAAAGCAGTCACTAATAATTAGTCAAATTCTTCTGAATGAAATAGTCAAATTAGTATATTTAAATTAAAAAAAGTTTTGACCCAGCCGGGGGTTGAACTCAGGTCTGTCGCTTGTCAAGATGGCGAAGCTGTTGTCATAACCCATTTGGCTATCAGTCGCTCTTATAAAAATTTGTCAATAAATATTTTCATAATATTTTAAAGTTGAATATATTATTTGTGTTGCTGTTTTGAGCTAAACTGTTTTCATTTTTGTTTGTTTATATGGGCCATTTAACCATGGAGCCTAGGTATATGCATTTAATTCAAATATTACTTTGTTGTTGGCCGCAAACGATTAAATAAATTAGTTCCTTTAACTCTCAGAAATAGTCAAAGATGGTGACTAATCTTAAATAAGTCAAACTTTAACTATTTACGTAGTAAAAAATAACTATTTAAAAGTGAAAACGACTATTTTATTAGTAAATAATGCTGGTACTAATTCAAATAGTAGAATTTTGACTATTTCATTTTAAGAGAGTTATTTTCAAAAATCACTTGATTTAATAATGTAAAAAACTGGGCGACTGCTACTGTATTGAACCCCATCGCACGTGCTCCAGAAGTTGCCTCGGGCAACAATTCCGGATGGCTCCTCATAAAACATTGCACCCAATCTTCGCCTGCCTTTTTTTTTATCTTTGTTAAATCGATGCTCACAACCATTTAGAACCGCTAGTTGATAGGCTAGTCTTCTTAGTTCTTTTATTTTTAAACCAAACATTCTCTTTTGCATATCCTTTAAATACTTAACCAGTTCTAACTCTTGATCTGTAGTAAAAACACATTGATATTTGCCAGCAGATTATTTAACCACAGAATTTGGATCATCCTTACGTTTTTTTACTTATCTTTCTAATGTAGTTTGCGGGAGTTGAAACTAAACTGACGCTTTCTTGCAGCTCATTGTTGTCTAAGTGTCTTTTTGACATATTTGCTAACCATCTAAAAACTCAAATTTGCATAGTTAAATAAAGCCGGGGCGGAATGGGTGACCCCATTCCACTCCGCCCCGTTCTACCCCAGATGTACTTAATAACAAAACATATGGTTAGACACGCTTTGCCAATATCTTGAAGTAGTCATGTCAAAATATACTTAATAATATGTTATATACTGTAAAAAAGCCAGCAAGCCCCAAAACAAATACATAATGAACTTACCTTCTGTTAAACATGTCGAAAAGTTATAAAACTTAACACAATTTCACCAAGTTTGGTCTAAAACCTACTAAAACGTTTGTAGTAAATCGTTTGTCATTACCAACTAACGTGTTGGCCTTCTAGGAAGTGATAACAGAGGACGCTAGTAATATCGATCGTCTGCTGCGGGAAATTTAAATAAAACACCGTTCTGTCCCGGTACCCCGTTGTACCCGGTCTCCCCTACAACTATAAATAAACAATATTAAGTCTATTTATTATACGATAAGATAAATAAATTTCTTTGTGGATCTATAACTATAACTTTTAGGTTCCAACCTTACTTTCTTAAAAGTCCCGAAATCCGATAAAATAGCTTTTGCTGGTTAGGGGTAGGAACAAAACATTGTAAAATCGTAAATTGCTTTATTATTTTCTTATTTAAAAATTTCTGCTTTTAAAATGTTTCATATTAATCTAAATATTAAAAATAACTGTTTGACTAATCCATAACTACGAAAAGCTTTAATATTATTCCCAAATTATAAATAAATATTAATATATCATTTTTGTTATTAATATACTAAATATATTTTTAGCATTGCCAAATAACATCACAACATCCGACATCGATTTTAACGAACGTTTCGAATGGATCAATTCCAATCAAATGAGATGTAGTTTTAAGGAGGCATTAGAACGTGGCCTGCCATATCCTATATTAACAGTGGCCGAATATTTTACGTTGGGACAAGATGGCCTTGCATGGGGTGGCCAATACAGAGCCGCTGGATATTTTGCCATCATCATGTTATGGTAAGTATATTGAGCGACTAGTAGGAGCGACTAGTATACTCGTTCTCCTATAGGAGAACGAGGAGATTTATCAAGCGTAAAGTAATACGGGAGTGGAATCTCGTTTTTTAAAAATGGTCGCTCACAATATTTTATTTAACTACCGACAAGTATAATTCAGTTTTAACCTCACTTTTTTTCAATATTAAGTTAAAGCTTCAGCCCGTAGGCGAAATGCTATTTCGCCCACTATTTGGCAAAATATGATTATGAAAATCTTGTACAAATGTGCATTAACAGTTAATAGTATATTAAATAACTAACGTCATAAGACGTCATTTTGTCGCACGCGGACAATTTATAAAACAAGCGACGAAGGAGCGAGTTTTGTAATGGACGAGTGCGACAAAAGGTCTTATGACATGAGTTCTTTATGCTATTTTATCTATTTTGCAAAAATTCTATAAAAAAAAATAATTTTATACCTTAAATTTAATTTGGTCGAATTTTACTTTAGGTAGTTGGTATCACAGTCATTGGTTTGACATTTAATGTCAAAATCAAGTCGCCATGCCGTCCTTAATTTACTTATTTACAATAAGCGGCTGTTAATGTTAAAGAAGAAAAAAGGATTTTTTTTGGTGTTAAACAAAATTTATTGCCAGAAAAGTCTCGTAAGTACTAGAAAAATCATACAAATATCATAACCAATATGCAAAATATTATCATTACTCAATGATATTATGCTGTTTTAAGTTTAGCCAACCTATACAATCAAAATTTTGGGTGGGATAAAGAATCTCATTAAAGCACCGAAAGCGGTGTTATAATGAAGTCATTATGAACGGAAAATAGATAAAATTATTTTCTATAGTTTACTGCGGATTTAAACTGTGGGGAAAAGAATTTTTCCTTTTATAAATGGTAAAATTACTCACGTTTTTTGCTAAGGCGTAAGATATATTTTAAAGTGGCTTCAATTTTTGGATAGGTGGGGGGTAAAAGTGACTTGGATCGTCCAATATATATAATATACTCGTATATATTCTCTACACCCAAAATTTAATTCGTTTATAAGACATTTCCTACCTGTTCTATAATAAGATCCATTTTGATACAAATTTTTCATTACGATTCAGATTTTTAACAGATCTAATATTTATCAATTTTGACAAGTTACTGTTTACATAGAAACTTTTTAAACTTAAAATTAGTGTAGATAGTGAATGTAAAATTGAAAAGTTAACCCCGCCAAAAACTGTTACAGGTCGCAAAAGCCGCAAACAACGTATTAAACTTATTACAATCGCATAATAAACCATACTAAATTCATTTTACCAATTTACCTTGATAAATAAACATTTCGAAGTCGGATATTTAGCGTAAATAATATATTCAATTATAAAATTGTTAAATATTTTTTGAAACATTTCTTCAAAACCTTTTGACTTCTCAGCAGGGTGCCACATGTGCCTATTTTTTCTGGAAAAATTTCCCTATTCTGTAATCTAAAACAATTTGTAAAAATAAAAATAAAAACTTGTTATATTATTGATTTAAGAAGTCATAGTTAAAGCACTGCAAAGAATATGTTTTATTTTTAATACTTCATTTTTTATCGTAATATGAGGCAAAACCAGTTTGAATATTATATAGAAGATGTATAATATATAGTATTATTATGTATGTACATATGTATAATATACATATATTATATAGGTAAGAATAAATATTTTAAAATTATGCAGAACAAGTCAGCAGTCCAAAGTAAAAGAACCGTTAACTACATTTTGATTTAAACTGAGAAAAAAGGCAAAAGAAAGCCTTTCGTAACAGAAACCGTAGTATATATTTGTAAAAATATTGACGAAATGCAAATACCGCTTTTGTTACATGTAACGGATTTTCCATATGAGCGTCTTCCTTTTGTTGGAAAATGATAAATGTTCAAGTTTTTTATTTTTGTGAATTAGACGGCTTTTGCTCAGGGTTACTTTACTTTTAAATGGAAAATAACAGGCCAATTTTAAGAAAATGGATTTTTCTTTGAAAAAATTGGTGGACTTTTAGCGACCCACCGGGAATTTGCCCGGTTGCCCGCCTCTCATCCAACCCTGCTTATGTTCCAAACAATTCTTTTCATTTACATTGACGCTTTCCAAACTAAGGCGTTTTGTAAAAAAGTAAAATAATACCAAAACCTTTTGTTAAAATGTTAGTCAACCTTTTTTTACTTGGATGACAGAAGTGATATCATTTTCTGTCATTAGATAATATAACTGGTTTTTTAAATATTTTTTATATATTTTTTAAAGATGATTATATAATAATTAGGGTGTTTCATATGAAACAAAGTTTTTTTAACCTTGCTGACACCATGAAATATTGTTCTGTATACTGAAAAAAAATTTGTACTTTTGTAATCTCTCAATATTTTCAAAAATATGAGAAAAATTTCGAAAAAATGACTTATTGACCTAATACAATTAATATAAGTTATAATAAAGTGGTCACAGAGTCTTTCAAAGAGCGTCAAATACACTATAAATAATGTTTATTAACGCGGTAGCTTGAAACCCGGCTAAGCTATAGAAATACATGTATTTTAAATTGGGAAAATACAAAATACAAAAGGAAGTACTAAGAGTTAAAATTAAGGGCTCAGATTTTCAGGATTTTTTTTTCAGTGTATAAAACAATATTTTATGGTGTCAGCAAGGAAAAAAAACTTAGTTTCAAATAAAACACCCTAATTTTTAAAAATATTTTTTTTAAATTAAAACATTATCGAATATTAATATTATCTAATATTATTATATAATATAAATTATATTATTATTATAATAATATATATATATATATATATATATATATATATTATATAATAGATAATGTTTTAATTAAAAAAAATATATATTTTTAATAAAATGAATATAAAACAGCTATTTGGTTTCTCTCATTTAATATTTTGAATCATAGAGTAGGTACTTATATTGATTTATATGATTTTTAGTATTTAATATTGTTAAAACGGTACTCTCTAAAAATGACTAATTTAATAGTTGTAAGTGGCTGCTTTTTTACTTGTACCATGGTTAACCATAGAATACCATGGTATCCCAAAATTTAACAGCCAATTCTTATGTAAAATTCTCCCCTGAATATAAAAATACCATAAAAAATTATGAAATTGGAGTAGTTATGAGATATAGTCAATTCCATATTAAATGAAATATTGACTATATCTCAAAAACTGTTCTACTTTTTTAACTTTTGACGACATTTTCGGATTCAGGGGACAATTTTACATAAGAATTGGCTGTTAAATTTTGGAATACCATAGTATTCCATGGTTAACCATGGTACAAGTGAAAAAGAAGCCACTATAATATTATAGTGGCTTCTTTTAACTATTTAACTATTTAACTATTAAATTAGTCATTTTTGACTAATTCATTTTTAGAGAGTAGTTACCTAATAAATAAATATTAATATTACTTTTGTCTACGTGTATGTTTACATACAAATTGTCAGGTGACGTGATATTAATTTATATGCAATTAACTGACCAACTCAATACAATTAATATTGACGACTTGTAACAAAATTTTTTAATCTTAAACGACCTCATGTTGAATATATTTAAATCTTTAAATTCTTTAAAAATACTAAAACCATACAGGTATACACTTATATAGGTAACAGTATACATATATGTATAATATACTGTATACAGTATATTAATTTATTAGCATCAGATTCGATTTAGTATTAATTATGAAACCAGTGGAGGTTCATAGTCATTCAAGTTAAGGTTTATAAGACAATTATGGTTGTATAATGAATATGCTTGGCCTTGTTTGGTAAATTAGCCTTACATACATCATTAAATTGATCACTTAAAGATACCACGCACAACATATAAAACCTTCTTAAATAAGTCGTAGTTAATTAATACTCACATGCATACATATTTATTGACATATGTTATAAAATCATTTATCTCCATTCGGTCTATGGTCTAAGAACTTCAAAATGATTTAGACCAATCGGGTTAGGTTATTTATGGACTAGGCCGTAAAAATTCATTATTAACTACTTTGGTCCAACAAAAAATTTCGACGTCTGTCAGATCTATCTAACCTCACTTACTACTTTTATTAAAAATTTTTAAAAGTAGAAAGTGAGGTTATTTAGATCTGATGAACAATTATTGTACATTTTGTGTATCATTTAACAACTAAAATTTTGCCTTGAAGATAAAATGTTGTATGTCATTCGGCGAAGCCGAGATCAATTAAGCTCAGCAGAAAAAGACTCACTTATTGGCCTTATGAAATACATACGTATTATATATTTAAATAAGTCTTTAATCGTTATAACGATTATATTATATTATATTATATTATATTATATTATATTATATTATATTATATTATATTATATTATATTATATTATATTATATTATATTATATTATATTATATTATATTATATTATATTATATTATATTATATTATATAATAAATATACTTAAAACTATACAATAAAGCTTTTTAGTATACTACATATATGCTACATGCTTATTTAGATAAATTTAGAACATTGGAGCGTAGGTACTAATTAAAATCATAACTTTTCTTAAATATTAACAAGACCTTATCCGGGCTACAAAAGCAAACCTTCTTATAAAATATGCATTTTTTTTTCAGATAAATATCAATAAACCTATGGTAATTTTATATATAAAGGGTATACCCTTATATCAGAGACAAAAATCAGTTGTGTTATACGTATATTATATAAGATCGAAATAATATTTAATAAGACAAGAAAAGTTTTACAAAGCCGAAATTATTGTAAATTCCTTGAAAACGTTAAATTTGAGTTTTTATTATCACTAACCAGAACGATGGCGTATGAAGGTTTAAACTACCCCACAAATGTGTTTTGAGAAATCTTTATTATATAAACCCTCCCCCCGCCGATTTTTTTCTGTGTACGCTCCTTGAATCAAAGCAGCAACATTCTCAGCATTTCGAAACATTAGTATACCTAATTAACAGAATAACAGAAGTTTTAATAAAAAACCTATTCTTTTTATAATATAATATTAATTAAGATATACAAAATCTTCACATTTTGAATATGGTCGATGTCAATTTCAAAACCTTATTGAAAAACCCTTTTAGGTACGAGGTGTGTTCAGAAAATAACGGGAATTTTTTAATTTCACGGGTTCTTAAGGTGCGATTTCACCAAGCGCGCAAAACGTTTGTGAATGTTTGCAATTATTTGCAAACTCAATATTTGTTTGGTGGAGACGTTTAATCACGCGCATTCGCAAACGTTTGTTCGCATTCGGCCGTGTTCGAAGCGGTGTCGGTGCATCAAAGGGATTTATTGTTCGTGTGTGCGCTCAGTAGAGACGGCGCCATTACTACCTATTTTCTGGATCGATGACAAATGTTTGCAAACGCACAGTCCTAGACGTACGTCTAGGCGCACAGTTGTTCGCAAATATTTGGGTGGTGAAGACGAATGAATTGCAAACATTTACAAACATTTGCAAACGTTTGCAAACGTTTGTTCGCAATAATTTTTTGGTGAAATCACATCTTTAGAGTCCGATTGTCATAAAATTTTCTTTATTATGTTGAAATACATGCCCCTGAAAAATGATAAAAACTTTAGCTGTTTTCATAGTTTACTTTGTCTGTGGCAGCCGCTAAGGTCAGACTAGTTTTTATGAGCCCGGCGATTTTTGTTCGTTAAAAGAAATGGATTAAAGAATTTGTATCAAATTTTGCGTAAAAAAATTAGGCTAAGTGTGTGAAAAGGCCTATGGTGAGTCTGATATGAGTAAAAAAAGAGTTTACGAGTGGTATAAGCGTTTCCAAGATGGCCGTGAAGACGTTGAAGATAACGAACGCCCAAGCATATCACAACCGATAAAAACTGAAAAAGTGAAAGAAATGGTTATGACCGATCGCCAAATCACAATTAGAGAAGTCGCTGATGATATTCGCATATCGATTGGCTCATGCTCATTGAATGTTTTGGGTATGAAACGCGGGGCTTTTGCACCACGATAATGCACCTGCTCACACTTCATTGCTTATTCGTGAATTTTTGGCCAAAAATAATACTGTAATGATGCCCCAGCTTCCATATTCACCAGACATGGCTCCGTGTGACTTTTTCTATTCCCAAAAATAAATAGCCTCAAAGGGCCGTCGTTTTGCAAGCATAAATGACATTAAAAGCCCATCGCTGAAAAAACTAGAAGCTATCCCAAAGATCGAGTTTGAAAAGTGTTTCGAGGATTGGAAGAAGCGCTGGCACAAGTGCATAATAACTAGACGAATAAATAAATACTTTTTTCAAAAAACGAAAATTCCCGTTATTTTCTGAACAAACCTCGTATGTCTTTAATAAATGAGTTTTAAAATACAATATTTAATGAAAACATGTATCTATATCTACAAGTAAAAAATATTATTAAAACGTTTAAAAATAGAAATATCAATACAAAAAAATTAACCCAATAAGAATATTTAGTTTATTTTCTTAAACTTATAAACCACCTTGTATTTAAAAAAAATGTTTTTTTTTTATATTTTAATAAATACATTGTTAACCATAAAAAACCCGTTGATTTTTGCCAATTAAACCTATAATTTAGTTTATATCTATCCTGATCACCTTGTAGCATTACCAAGTAATTAAAAACAATTACCTTCCTCGCGATTAAGGTTGTCCTGGAGTGAGTGTCGAATGATCAGAATTTGATAAATTCTTTATCATGCTTCACATCATCCTGTTTAATTTAATAAAAATTATTGTCATTGGGAGCCGAGTAAATACATTTCAAAGTTGAGTAAAAATACACGGGTTCTTATGGCAGAACGTAGATTGTTACTCTTTTCTCCTCCGAAATAATTATTGGTAATGGATTGCAATGAAAAATGAGTATATCGTGGAGCGTAATTTCAAAACATGATACGCGAAGTTTCATAATGATCATGTCGGTAGGAAAAAAGTTCTATTGGATTAAATCGGTGAATTCACGAAATTTTACTCTTGCACTGGAGATTCATGGCAACGTCCCTGACGTCAGATAGGAACGCTCTCGCCCGGTGCTACATAGGTGTGAGAGAGAACGTATGTAGCAAGCGTAAGGGTGAAAGAGACAGCGAATAAGACGTTGCCAAGCGTTGCGACTGTTATTGGCGAAATTTTAAAAAGCGATGTTAAGATGTTAAGAATTTGTTAAATTAAATTAAATTTAAGTTTTTGTTTATTTTTAGGACATCCTTTACAGTTTGGCTGCTAATGAATCTGATGTTGATAGTTGTTCCCAGATATGGAGCTTTACTCATGACAACATGTGGCTTTATCCTTTTGGGGACAGTTTGCGGCTACTTTGCAATGTTACCAGAAAATCCTTTGACCATAAACATCGAGGGAGCTATTTTAGAGTTTAAGTTTGGGTGGTGCTATTGGCTGGTCCTTATAGCAGGTAAAATAAACACCTGGATAAAAAAATTGACAATTATTTTTTTTTAATAATTTTTTAAATGTAATGATTTTTTTGCAAATTGTAGAGGCTTATATCGTGATCCTTCTCTGTTTTTTTATTTTACAATAGGTTTTATGTTTCATTGTCAGTTTTTTTTCAAGAAGAACTTTTTACTTATTTGATTTATATTTATTTAATTTATTTATTTATATTTAAGGGGGTTGTTGTTTATTGACTGGTGTAATAATAACTACAATAGAAATAGTAAATCCTCATAGTTTTTCGACAATATTAGAAGTAGATTATGACACGCCATACGATAGGCATGTAATCATTGAAGACAGCAGAGGAAAGCGGTTCCAGAGAAAACGAACTAGTAGTGGAAAACTGGAAGAACAGGATAGCATTGGACATAGAATATTAAGGTAAAACTATTTATCTATAAATGTTTTCTCTTAAGTATTTATTTTATTTAGGAGGTTATCATCGAAAACGAGGGATGAAAAACAAGTACCATCTTGTTCAAATGTTACTTTAGAAAATGATACGTATGAAATACAAGAGAAAAATTCGTCCTGGAAATATCCGTACAGTACCCAGGAAGATAGACCTAGTAGAAATTTTCGAAGAAACAATTCTCACTTATCTAATTCCTCAATACCCAGGAACGGACCTCATGTTCACGAAAACAGCATGTTTAGGTACAACATATAATTTGTTATTTAAATTAATACTTAATTCCAAATTAATTTAAGGTATCCTGAGAAAGCTACTTCAGTATCAATGTGGTGAGACAAAGACAACTAAACTAAAGGACGTTTTAGTGCAATTTATTACTTATAAAGTGATTTTTATGTGATATAGATAGATGTTAGCTAAAATCTCATTTTTAATGGCCATATTTATATCTTTATTATACAGCCATGTAAATTATAGTTGTATCACACTATTATATAAGACTTATCGCAAAAAATGATATTATTTGTTAACAAATTTAATTTTAATTGATTTGTAATGAATAGTTTTAAAATTTAGGGTTTGTAAATAGACATGTCAGAGTAGGTGACCCTTGAAGTGTAATTATATGGAATTATTTTATTGTAATTTATAAAAATAAATATTTATTTGACGAAACTAATTTATTTTTAAAATTATTGTTTCAATAAAGTTCTTGGATTTTGCAACTAAATAAAACAATAGCTTATTAATAAAACAAATTCGGTATTGCATTAAATGATATTAATTACAATTGCATTCTAGAACTATTTGGAGATTATGAGGCGCCGTTTGGGCCAATATAAAATTAAGTATTTATATATAAATTTTTATCTTTGATTGAAAATATTGTTGATATATAAAAGATTTTAATTGTGTGATTGATATATTTTAAAGCTTTCGCAATATACCGTGTGCAATGAGGGCGCCACTTCAATGTTCGTAAACATTAATGGATAAAAATTTCCATCCTTGATTGAAAATATTCTAGATATATAATTGTAATTTTGAGATTTAAGTTCGCTTGTAAATTATTTATTTTAATGTTTCCACAATATACCGTGTGCAGTGAGGGCACCACTTTGATGTTCGTAAACATTTTTGACATAATTGTCATTTAACATTGCCCGTTATTTATTTTTATTAAACTTAACATTTATTTATACTTTAAAATATTAAAAAAGCTGTAAAATATTATTAATTATAGCAATAAAAAACCCAAAGAGTAAAATATTTTCTTAACATAATAATATTTTGAAGTTATTTTAATATTTTAAAGTATCAATAAATGTTAAGTTTAAAAAAATAAATAACGGGAAATGTTAAATGACAATTATTTCAAAAATGTTTACGAACATAAGAAGTGACGTCCTCACTGCACACGGTATATTGTGGAAGCTTTAAAATAAATCATTTGCAAGCCAACTTATATCACATAATTACGAAGGCGTAGAAGGGACAATTACACTAAATTCATTTTTATTATTTAATTCTGCGTTAGCTAACACAGAATTAAATCCGCCATATTTAATTCTGCGTTAGCTAACACAGAATTAAATCCGCCATATTTAATTCTGCGTTAACTAATACAGAATTAAATCCGCCATATTTAATTCTGCGTTAGCTAACACAGAATTAAATCCGACATATTTAATTCTGCGTTACCTAACACAGAATTAAATGCAATTAATTCCGTGTTAGCTAACCCAGAATTAAATATGGTGGATTTAATTCTGTGTTAGCTAACGCAGAATTAAATATGGCGGATTTAATTCTGTGTTAGCTAACGCAGAATTAAATAGTAAAAATGAATTTAGTGTAATTGTCCCTTCTACGCCTTCGTACATAATTAAAATCTTTTATATATAAAAGATTTTAATTATGTGATATATATATCAGGAATATTTTCAATCAAAGATAATATTTTCAATCAAAGATAAAATATTTTCAATCAAAGATAAAAATGTTTACGACCATCGAAGTGGCGCCCTCACTGCACACGGTATATTTTGGAGGCTTTAAAATAAATCAATCACAAGCGAACTTATTTCACACAATTAAAACCTTTTATATATCAAAAATATTTTCAATCAAAGATGAAAATTTATATATAAACACTTAATTTTATATTGGCCCAAACGGCGCCTCATAGGAGATTGTTTAAATGGTCTTTACTTTTAATACAGATTGGCGCAGTGGATTAAGTGAAGTTAGAGTTATAAAAGGGTCTAAAATAATTATTTTGTTATTCAGTATAAGTACAATTTTATTCAGTTTGAGTGACTAAAAATCAACTTATCTTTTGCCTAAAGGCCAATTGGTGTTCCTAAAGGGTATAATTTATACAATTATTTTCATTTACCTATATGTAAATAAGCAATATTTTAGGTACAAACAACCTTAGCATTTCAAAAAAGGGTTGCGATGTTGATGAATTCGGAATATTATGCCCGACTTTAAAACTTATTACAAACACGTGGTGGCTATATAAAAGATGTTATTCTTAAAAATATTTTTTTGGTAAAACTTTATTATATGTAATAAACATGTATTGACAAAACATGGGTCGTTTCAACTTGATCAATTTAAATATTGGTTCCAACAAGACAAGACGCCTTGTCGCAGCGAAAGCTCTTAAAACATAAAAGTTAAAACCAAGAAATAATTTCTCAAAAGTGCAAACCAATAATAGTGAAACAATCGCCGACGGTGGACTAGTGGTTAGTGCTGCTGACTACAAGCCGGAGGTCGTGGGTTCGAATCCCACCAGGGGTATGGCTGTTTATTTGTGTTTGTCCTATTGTGTAATGGTCCTGCGGAGGGGACTTTAAGCCCGCGGTCCGTTTCTACCCCTAACCCGCACAAGCCATTCAGTTGGCTTATGGGACTTCTTAAGAAGTAAGGGTGGAACTAAAAGAGCACTTTTTGTAACTACAGTGAGAATAGACTACCATACGATCAAGAATGAGTTAAGAGTTAAGTAACAAGTGAGCTTCTGGGCGGTCATTCCACCCCTCAACTGGACGCTTTTCACTGGACAAACAAAAAAGAACAAAACCAACAAACAATTTTCATTAAGTGCAAACTGAAATAGTGTAACGGTGAATAAAGAGTGAAGTGTTAAGTGATAAGAAAGTATCACATGGAGATACCATGCAAAATATTGCTTGGACGTACACGTTTCTCGAGTGGAATATTTGATTGTTATTTTAATAATCTATACCTTTGACTTTTTATTATTATTTAATTAATCAAGTTTTAGTTTTACTGGTATTTTTATTTATATGTATCTACTTTATTTTAATATACAAGTGAATAATCTAGATTATTAAATATTTATTTTAACTTAAACTTTAAAAATGTTGTCATTTGACCATGGCTATTTAATTTTATTAAATTTTCTTTAAAATCTTTTAAAGGTTTGTCGTATAAATATGGATGATAGTTCTATGATCAAGGAGTATTTAAATTTTGCAAGAATAAGTAGGTATTAGTAAAACTAATAACAAACAACAGCTGTTATCAATTATAATTAACAACTTGTAAACACCAAAATTGAAGTATTTTTACCTGCCATTTTTAATATTTCTTAAGAAACATAATATAATATATTAATATAGCCTAACAACTTTGTTTAATCTAAACATGAGCATATTCGAAGGTAAAAAGTAACTTTTTTTAATAATAAAACGTATTATATTAAATATTTTGTATCTGTGAGCCATAGCCCTATAGCACTATAGTACTGTACTATAGTACTGTGATTGGGTTGACATAAGATCTTTACGGTGAAAGATAAAACTTGTAAATTTCTACGTGAGGAAGGAATGGCATTGTTAGGGTACGGGTATATGGGCAAATTTTCGTTAAATGTACATTTGCTGTCCCCAGCTAATTTTATTTTTATTTTTGACCTTTGTTTTTATTATATTTAAATACCCCCTTTCTGTTAGGACCCATCGTATTATTTTTTTAATTACTTTGTGTTTCTATATATGGCAGAAAAACTAGGTGAAATGTCCTGTAACCTAACTGTCCCCAGAGGCGATTTTTTAATTTAAATTATTATATTCTTCTTTGCAGCTTTCTTCTGAAAAAATAAATTATTTTTGAACAATGGAAAGTTCTTTTATTCGTATATAAAACTAAAATAGTTTTCTACAAAGTAGTTTAAACAGAAAAAAATATTAAAGTTGACATTCAAAAATCTTGTCTTTTTCCTAACGTCGTCTTCTATGCGGACTGCTTCGAAATAGAGACAATAGGTTGTTGTCATAGCAGCATGTCAAAATTTTTAAAGAAAAAACTTGTTTAAAACACCATTTTCCTCTTTTTAATAAAAATAGCAATAAAATACAGCTTCTAAATATATTTTTAATACTATAACAGTGAACATCACATCTCTTATTGGGTATGCATTATACATATGTATATAATATATAATGTATATAACATATAATATTATATTTAATTTTATTTATATTGAACAATTTAATATACATGATGTCCCAAAATCACCGGACCTAAAGGAACGGGTCGATTCCTTGCGAAAATCTAAGATAAAATTTCTTTTATAATTTTTTAGAATTTCCAAAATTGCAGGAGTTATTTAATTTTTAAGGCCGCCAATGAGAGCGCAGTGTTTGTGCTCTATAGAGCAAGCCCCGCCTTTTGACTAATCCATTGTGGAATTTTTTCGCTGAAAAATTAAGAAAAAGTTTTAATAGTTAAAAATAAGAGTTTTGAAAGTGTTACTTCTCTTAAAAAATAAGAATAAGACTAAGTCAGACTATTAGCAAGATTTGAGAGTCTTCTGGAAGAGTTATTCTAAATAAAAGTTTTAGCAGAGAGTGGTCTAGCGATAAAAATAAATATTCTGAATTTATCAGAGATGTTGTATTTGGTTATTGTAAAAGAAAACAGGAAGAAAAGTATTTTAAAACATTGTTTCTTTGTTTTTATAAGGCTTATAAGTTTATAACATTACAGTACAACAAAACAATTAAGACGTTTGGTTTATGTCCATTCAGATCACTTGTTGATTACATATATGTTATATTTATTATACCTTATAAGGTGTAATAAATTTAACAATTATATTTGTTTCCAACGCATAGGTTACGCACCGCACCTTAAGGCGAACGGTCACGTGGGTAAGGTCTCGCTTAACGCGCCCCTACTTCCATAGTGCCATCACCGCTAAAGTTATTCAAAAAATAAATAAATATTGATTTTACACGTGATATATGTACCAGATCCAAGTGCAAAAAGAGTGCAAATTGCGTGTGGTACCTCCTCCTGCACTCAGAGAAATGTCAAGTCATAAAAAGCATATGAAATTATATTAATTTAAACAATCGGGTAAATTTGATTCAAATAGAAAAATTTGTAGTTTTATATTCATTTACCAACAGTTTTACAATTTTTAGAAACACTTTTAAAGTGTACCCTCTTTAAAATATATATACAAAAAGAAATCCATTTATTTCATTGACTTTCTCAAAATTGTTTCAAAAAGATATGTATTATACAATTGTTATGCACCTATTAATTTAATGGGAAACACCAATGACGCCAAAACATATTTGAATCCCTTTGAATTATTATCGTTTTGAATGATTCTACAACATTTTTTCTC